ATGGTTATCAACAGCTATAATGACTGTCGAGGCGCTAGATGGAGCCACGAGGTTGGCGGGAAACCTTAGTTGCGACACTCACAAACTAGACCGGAAGTGTGTTACCAACGACCCGCTAAGCTGGACGTGAGGGAAGACTCCGAGCACGTCTTTCACGATGGTATGTCTAAGTGAGGGAAGCAGGAGGCATTATGGCGAGGCAGGCCAGGCGTGGGCTGGTGTTGGGGCCGCCAACACTTACAAGATCAAGGTCTGGCGGGTCAATGACACGGCTCTCACCTCATAACGCGGGTTTTTTCCCTCTTGTTCCCACTTTATGCTCTCCAAGATATTCCTATCTCGGTACTTGACATTATTGTTTTAAAACGTTACGTAACGTATTTCATTCATTCACTAATCTGGCACTGAAAACTAGATTCCAGTCTGTGTATCTTTGTCCCTGTGGGATTGACTATTCTGCCAATTTACTTAACCATGGTTGGAGTCCCACATGTTTAAGAGTCGAGACCCATTCCTGTCTGCAACTGATGTAGCTCTTTTTCAGGATAGTAACAACTGGCCCGTTGTTTATGCCATACTACTGTCTTGGTCATCTCTCTTACCTGGATCTTACCTGCAAAGGGTTCTGGGAATTCTTCGACTTCCCAAGCCCAGTCTTGACTATTTGTCTTCCCTTCGACTGTCTCTCATGGTACTGTTTGTGCACTAGCCAACTGGTCTCTTTCCTGCATCGGTCTAACCTCAACACTAAGTTTCCCTTTCATCTACATCTTTGTCACGATACCTTTCACAGACCCTCTCTCCCCTCTTTCCACTCTGGTTTTCTAACATCTATCAGTGCCTTTGGACCTATCTATTTTAGGTCCTTGCTATTTTTTTATCCAGTAGCTGGCTGGTGAATAATAAAATATTTCTGCCTCGTGCACAGTCGCTGACTACATTGCTACTTCCTGCAATGCTCTCCTGGCCTCTGGGCTCCTTACCAGAATTTTCGAAAATGTGAGCTTCCCTGAAGAAGGTCCTCCACTGCTTAGTAGCTGTACAGTACAATGATCTCGTTTGTGCTACGTGTTGGGTTATCTTGAACGATCCTTATTTCCCCTACAGCTGACCTCGACTGTCTCCACCTGTCTTCCCTGCTCCAGCTTCATACTCCCTCTCTCATGGACTCAGTCCACTCCATTTGGTCACCATTTGGTCCGGGAGACATCTCCCGTCACGCAGGGTGCAGTTGCGCCTCCACAGATCTCCAGTATCATCTTTTGATACCGGTAATGGCTCAAAAGGGCCACCACTTACGGGCTATTCATGCCCGTGCCACCTTTTGGGTGGCTTAATCTTTATCAATCATTCATGGACTCAGTCCAAAGGCTGGATTCAAAGTTCTCTGTAGTTCTTGTGTGACACTTTGAGTTATCTCTTCGTACCGGGCGGTACAGAAATGGTTGGGCACATTTCATATCACCTGATCCCTCTGTTCACCTAACAGTAAATAAGTACCTGGGAATTAGATAACTGTTGTAGGATTGCTCGCTGAACTTAGACCCAAATATCACAGAAACAAGGTTATCACGTATAACCAAACTCAATTACGGGCTCACTATAGCCCGTGCTACATGGACACTTCGTTCAGAGTAGCTAAATCTGAAACAACAACAACATGCTCGCTGAAGAGGGTCAGTAGTTCGACCTAATGGGAGAGTTCGAGACAAGTCTAAAGTGTATATATATACACAGTCTTCCTGTACCCGACATCGGAGACATCTCACGTCACGCAGGGTGCAGTCGCACCTCCACAGATCTCCAGTATCAGCTCTTGATACTGGTAATGGCTCAAAAGGGCCACCACTTACGGGCTATTCATGCCCGTGCCACCTTTTGGGTGGCTTAATCTTCATCAATCAATCATCTGTACCGGACAAAACCATTTACCCCCTGCATCCTCCACACTGCCTGTGTGCACCCCGCTGGGCCCAGCTGTGATTTTTGATTGTTGCCGCCGGAGCCGGCTAGTTTATTGTGCACCCCATACCCATCCTGTGAGCGGTAGCGCAAAAAGCATTACAGAGGGCACAAAAGGTCTTTATCAGATCTCAACGGAGATTATTACATAAACAATTTCATCTATCCTTCACACCTTATAATTACAATGTCAGCTAGTTACAGAGAATGTTCTATTTCAAGAGCTGTATATTAACAGTAAGTCATTATACATTAATGGTAGGTCTCATTGCTAATATATAATTGTTTGAACAATGGAGACAATGGAGATATTACAGTCATAAGGGAGCTGCTGTTTATTATTAGTCCTCACAATACACTACTTGTTTCTTAATCTATGTCGTTTATCTACTGGGAGCGAAATACAGATACAGCGCAATATTTCAGGTATTTTATCCTTGGTAATAAGATAGGTTGCCATATCATACAACGTGAGTTTAGATTTATCTCTAAATGGCTCAATTTTACTACAATCTAAGATATAGTGTTCGAGTGTGTGTCCCTGTCTTTACACTTTACTTCATCTATACAAGCCGAACTGCCAGAGATATTTGTAGCCAAGTCTTATACGAGCTGTGACAACATCTGTTAGTCTACTGACTTTGTTACTTGCCCCATACACATGTTTTACTTCACACATTTCATTGTGATGAACAATGGACCTGCTAGTTCCAGTTTGCACTGTTCTACTTTCTTCAAATCCATCCAGGAGTTCTCGTCTAATGACATTTTTAAGGGACCTATTTGATAACTCAAGATTCCGTTCAATACTGTCTTTATTTACTGCAGCCTTAGCAGGGGCGTCAACTTTGTCATGTTCCTGCAGGCTAATGTGAGAAGGAATCCACAACATTTTTATATTTAATGTTGGGAGTTGCTCCCAACGAGTTAATGTTGCTCCCTCTCTATATTTAGAGAGGGAGCCGGTCGGCCGAGCGGACAGCACGCTGGACTTGTGATCCTGTGGTCCTGGGTTCGATCCCAGGCGCCGGTGAGAAACAATGGGCAGAGTTTCTTTCACACTATGCCCCTGTTACCTAGCAGTAAATAGGTACATGGGTGTTAGTCAGCTGTCACGGGCTGCTTCCTGGGGGTGGAGGCCTGGTCTAGGACCGGGCCGCGGGGACACTAAAAAATCCCCGAAATCATCTCAAGATATTATTGTGCATGTTATTGCCTGTCCCATTGACAGTGTATTTGGGATTTATTGCATATCATCATTACTGAGTATCCGGTTGGAACTCTTGTGATCCCTTTGCATACCGGCAGTTAGGTTGCCGTGTTAATGATTGGCTGTCAACTGTGTTAAGTTAGGTGTTTCTCCACGAGTGGATATGAGTCGTTTAGCCAGACGTCAAGAGTCTAGCTAATGCAACCATAGCTTTGCTGACGCCAATCTAAAGTAAATCAAGCACCCTTTGTATTAGTGGTTAAGTTAGTAATAAACTACTGTTAAGCTTTATGCGGTGTTTCCGTTGAACCACTTCTGAATACTGCAAATCTATTACTCAAGCCTTCAGCTCTAGGTGTCTTCAACACCGAGTTGCCTAATTCACTAAACTATAAATGTGATGAGGACCCTAGGAGTCCCTTAAAGTGTTAAATCATTGAGGAGATTCCAACGATCAACGAGGAGCAGGACCAGGTGAGACTAGTCTAAGAAGAGACCCTCAAGGACTCTAACTCGACCTTGCTCCCAGGCCCTGTACGGTTGCTCTCGTATTTTCTATTCTGCTAATTCCGACAGTTTCGTGAAGCGTCTGCCACATGTACATTGGCGACGTACACATTGCAGCCGTGAAAGCAAAAAAAAAAAAACCCTTCAGCGAACCTTTCGTATACACATTGAATTTGAAACTCCTACCAATTCTATGAATCATGATGTCTGAAAAAGGCAGAACACCATTATCTTCATTCTCAATAGTGAATTTAATTGACGGAACCAGCGAATTAAGCTGAATGAGAAAATCAGTTTGGTCATGGTTAACCGGCCACAGGCACATCAACCCGTTCTCGCACTTTCTTACAGTGAATATTGACTTATTAAATACGTGCATATGTGACATACTAAACATACTAGTTTACCTTGAAAAGTTTCATAGAAAACACCGACCTTACCTAACCTTCTTAGTGTGTTAAGATAAGCATCTTATTGCTTCGTAATTTCAATTATTACTTAACCTATACCTATAATAGGTTAAGTAATAATTGTAATTACGAAGCAATAAGATGCTTATCTTAACATACTAAGAAGGTTAGGTAAAGTCGGTGTTTTCTATGAAGCTTTTCAAGGTAAACTAGTATGTTTAGTATGTCACATATGCACGTATTTAATAAGTCAATATTGACTATACGAAAGTGCGAGAACGGGTTGGGCACATAACTATACCTGTGTGGTACACGTATGTTGACGTTATTTTGTGCCTATGGCAATGTAAGTTGTACACTGGTGGACACAATGAGTGCTTAAAATTTATGGATCTCTTGGAGCTGCTTCCAGACAGGTACCGAGGACGCAGCAGGCATTTCCTCTCTAGATCGCCACACTGAGGCGCTAAAACAGGAAACTGGCAGCCCTCGGGTCTCTGGTAGTGTCAATGAGCTTGGAACCCAGTTCTTTGAAAAAGCCCAAGGCACTGTTACCCCAGAGGCCGAGCGTCTCACAGGCTATGGGAACGACTGGCTTTCCAGACATGTTGGTTTTCCAGTTGCCTGTATTTGATTGACTGCTGTTTTCCTCTGGTTGGCTGCACCACCCACTTAATCAGCACTGAGGTTTATATGGGCATCAACAAGGGTGGATAAACATGTGTAGTCTCACACCAGATGTTTGCCTCTCTTCCAGGTGTATATTGTGATGCCATCTGGGCGAAGCGTGGGATCATCCAGGTTTGGGGCCATTAGGGTATGAGGTTCACTTTCTGCTGGGCACTGAGCTGAGGCAAGGCTCCTCTTGAAGATGTCACTGACTTCGTTGTGTCTTGCATGCCAGACCTTACAGCTTCCAGAGTGCAGCCCATGCAGTCCATACTGGTCCGCTACCACCCTGTTGCAAATACACTTATATTCAGTGTGAACTGGAGCACTAAGGCAGACGGCCACTGCTACACGGAGGGTGTCTGGATCTAGACACGTGCCTGTTGCAGACATGGCTATTGCCAAAAGAAAGTCCTTTGCATGGGGGCCAGGCATTCACTGCTCTGAAGCGGGCTTTCTCCTTATCTGATGTTGCAGTGGTGTGCATGGCATCACCTATTTTTCCCACTACTGGACTCTCTCAGCTCGAGTGTTTGTGTTTTTTGTTGGATGTATGTTGGGTGCTGAGGATGCAAGGACATCCCACTAATTATACATACAAATACACACACACACACACACACATATATATATATATATATATATATATATACACACACACACACACACACAATCTACGTTCGAAACAGTCCAGTTATCCCATGCCTATTATGTTCCCTGGTAATTTGTTCCATAACTCAACAGTCCTGCTTTCAAACCAATATTTACCAAAGTCTTCGCTAAATCCTAACTTATCAAATTCAGCTAACTGGTTGACAAATTTACATCATATTAGAGTTTATGGGCCTTTATAATGACAAAGCATAATATATTAAACAGTATACTAAACTATATTACACTCCACATCAAGGTGTAATTTTAAAACAGTAATGACAATTTGGTTAATAACTGCGTGTAAACATCGTAAGAGAGCCGTGCGTAAGTTGTGGTAAGCGGATGGTTATCTGGGTCAAGCTGTTTCTTAGTCAGGTCACAGCTCATGCCCCGAGAAGAAGAATTAATATACACTATTGACATTGGCACGACTACGCTATACTCTTACTACTTTCACTGGTGTTTATAGCCAAGCCGTCACCTGCTGTCGTTACTGCTAATACTGCTGCTACTGTGTTACTACCAGGCTTCTGAAATCTGTTGGTCTGTGCACTTATAAAATTCAAATTCAAAATTCAAATTCAAATAACTATTATTTTCATAACGTACCTCTACACCTGTTACTAATAAAACATCTTGGTCAGAAACCAAATATATTCCCCAACACTACTAAATATATAGTGTTGTGTGTGTATCTATGAGGGCAAGCCGGCAACAGGAGTCCGGGTGCTGCACGAAGATATCATTAGTCAACTTTCCGCGCCAACGGTACGGTAGGCGTCGCGCGGCGGCCCCGCAACTGGCGCAGTCTTCACGCTCACCTGAAATAAATTATCCCTCCTAAAACTGGCGCGTGATTACCGGTTTTATCGGCACTTTCACGTTCGTGTCGTACTACGAAACAAGTGTCGATCGCTCGTCTTGATGTTTCAAAGCAAGTGAGGATCATTCGTATTGATATTCGGAAATAAAGGAGGTTCGGGGTTCACCACATGAATGACGCATGATAGTTAAGCCCGAGTAAATTTTAATATAATACGACTTTTTTTTTTGGCAATTTTCAGGTAAATTTTTGAACAGCTACATGGAAGACAGTACCGAGCTCCACTAAACCTTATGGCCTAGAAATTGAAGTTTCTATCACTTATTCAATCCTTAATCTATGTGTAAAAGGGAACAAGCCTATTTTATATATATATAAATGAGGGCGGGGGACTGGCCGATGGTTTATGGTTAACGTTGTGTGGTATCAGCTGTTGTTGTTCCCGCCAAGCTGCCACAGGTGCCATTATGGCTCTTCCTTGCTTAACCTTGAGGCACTGTTTTTATTGCGTTGCTTTTCTCATAACATTTTGCTGCATTTTCACCACCAGCCTCATACCTAGCACTGAAGGTGGTGATTAATGTTTTCTTGCGGATGGAGACACTAGTATCGTATATACTTATAAGCTAAACTGCGCTCCCAGAGCTTTTCCCGCCATTTTCCATGACTGGTGGATTTACCGACCAATGTGCAGTCAGCTTAGTCATGCTGCGCCCGGCCACCAAGATGTATACTTTAATTTCTTCATAGTTTATTACAACATATATTTTCTCAAATACAAATTAATCGTAATATATATTATGGTTTTACACATACACCTAGATAAAGATGTGTTTTGGTTCTGCTGGGTTTCCTTTTCTTTTTTTTTAGTTTAATAATTTAATTGTTTGTTTATTTCTGCTGATTATTTGTATTTCAATCTCGTTCCCAACTTGATGGTTCACGTTGTCAACTCCTTTAATTATTTTCAGACTTGTGCGTTGCAGCTTTGGGTGTCTAAGTGTATGAAGCATTTTGAGAGCATACATTGAGCACAGGAAATGAGTGAAGTAGTTTTCGAGTAGTGCTTCATAGGAAATGACTTGCGAAGATTGGTTGATTTGTGAAGTCCGTCCTCAGAGCAAATCTATTACCATGAGAAACTACATCCCCCCCCCTCCCCCTCCTCCCCTCAAACCAACTGGATAGTTATCTACATATTTGTGATAGTCTGAAAGCCTATTATGGTTTCAGAAAATAGTGTACATATAAAGTGGGAAGTTAACCTTTGTCCTAAACAGAGATTATTCTCAAATTATAACTTTATTGTATTGTAAATCGTTGGTTTAAAATATAAAAAGTAAATACTGCAAATATTTTCTTTGACTTTGAAGAATTTTGTTTTCTGTAAAAAGAGTTCTCAGGTACACTCAAATAAATTTTCAATTCCATATTTCACATTATCGTAAATAATACACTGTATTAACGTAACCAAATGTAATGAAATCTAACCTTACCCTAACCTAACCTAACCATAGATAGAGAGTAGATAATAGCACTGATTCTGCAGTTATTCTCAATAAATTCCCGTGAGCGGATTTCCTCGCCGAGGACAGAGGTGGTTGTGAGGTTACTCAATAAAGATATTGTTTCACCCACATACTCTCACTCGTCCAACCACTTGGGCTGGACGGTAGAGCGACGATCTCGCTTCATGCAGGTCGAGGTTCAATCCCCGACCGTCCATAGGCACCATTCCTTCCTTCCTTCCCCCCGTCCCATCCGAAATCCTTATCCTGACCCCTTCCCAGTGCTATATAGTCGTAATGGTTTGGTGCTTTCCCCTGATAATTCCCTCCCTCACCCACATACTGCAAATACAAATAATTGCCAACATAAAGACAACATATAACCAAATATAATTAAAATAATCTAATGCTTCCTATGGTAATCAGTTAACCAAGGCGGACTAATCAATAACGAAGGCGGGTGTCATGTTCCGGTGAGCGTATGACGTCCTCTGATGCACCAATATTTACGCAGCAGACGTTGAGGCTTGAGTATTGCCTGTTATTGCCGAGTGGTGACTGGAGTGGTTAGAAAGTTCGGTATTGGTCAACAAGGGAGAGATGATGGTGATGGTGACAACCGCTGCCAGTTACGAAACAGCTGTGTATAGAGTAATCACCACGTCTTCCCACGTACTCACTATCTGCTTACCCCTCGGCAGCTCGCTAGCAAATGGAGGGAGTCGCTACACGCTCTCCACAGAGCTGGCGTCCCACTGCTGCAGCCAGGAACCCTGCTCGGCTTACCGAGGTCCCCATAGGCCAACGACTGACCTCCTTCATGCAGTCCACAACTTACTACCTACCTACTAGTAAGGTACCACCGGGTACCTATTTACTGCTAGGGGAAACACACGAAGTGTTAGGAAACGTGTCCAAACGTTTCAGCCTGCCAGGAAATCGAACCCGGGCCATTCAGTTGCAAGCCAGAAGAGCTCACCTCTGCGGTGAAAATTAGAATATGTATTTCACCACCAGGGCCTTCGAGTAAATAAAATCACTACGATCACCTTCTGTGGTTGTTCAATAAATCCCTGAACTGTATGTTTGACAAATCTTTCACCCCTGTCCATGGAGGACAGAAGAAAATGTATATATGTTATTGTAAACGTGTGGCATTGTAAATGCGTGGCCACGTCTGTGGTAGAAAAAAAAACTACCACTACATCCTACGCTCACCATCACAACTTACAATCTGATGCACCCGCTTTTCAAGTATTATCATGCAATACTCGCGCTCCAGATTTTGTGCACTTACTGCCTCTTGTAACTACAACAAATTAAAATACATCGCTGTCCCACTTTTCCAATTTCACAGTCATCTTATAGACAGGATCAGAAGCCAACGTTTTACCCGCGACCCTTGTCCTCCAATCTTTCAAAAACTGTCAGTGAAGTTTTATCTTAAAACTTCACATTAGCTCAGTCGATTAAGGCTCCCGGACGCAGGTTCGAATCCTCGTCACGGCCCTTATGGATTTGTTCACATTATTTATTTTGGCGCCCGCTTCCCCCCCCCCCCCCCAACACACACACAGCTCAAGACTATGCAAGCTGAGTTGTCATTTTACTGACACTGCATTAACCATTATTACATTTTCTAATAAAATGCACATTTGTATCTGTTTAGTTCACAAGGACAATGGTTGTCTGCTGGCCGTCAGTAGGGCGTGGCTAAGATGACCTAACATCTGTCTAGGTCGACCCAAGGAAATATAGATAGTGGGGGGATTCTAGGACGTGACTAAGACAAGGCTAGAATGTTGCTGGTGAAGGTTATTGCATGCTTGACACTGCTTTGTGTCAAGGCTCGGACATTGATACATAGGTAATGCTAGGCTATGGGATAGGATGAACTAGGCTGTAGGCTAGGACGAACTAGGGAGTAGGCTAGGATGAACTAGGGTGTAGGCTAGGACGAACTAGGGAGTAGGCTAGGACGAACTAGGGAGTAGGCTAGGACGAACTAGGGAGGAGGGTGCGATATGACTGTGGTGGATTCTTGGAATGGATTATGACTAAAAGAGAAGAACAAAACATGGTTATTATAAAAGCTAAGATACAGATACGATATGACTAGTTCCTAGACTAGCGCCAGGATAGGACTTGCACTCAAATGCAGGCGATGAGTCACAATAACGTGGCTAAAGTATGTTGACCAGACCACACACTAGAAGGTGAAGGGACGACGGCGTTTCGGTCCGTCCTGGACCATTTTCAAATCAACTTGCACTCAAAGTTTACCAGTGCTGGAACACATACCCGTTTTACTAACCATCCTGGGAGATGGCGATTTTCAGTATCATATGGCTAGTTCTTGACGCAAGCTATATCACCCTTCATATGTCTAGAGTAGCTGCGGTACCTAT